ACCACCATCACCACCACCACCACCATCATCACCATCACCATCATCACCCCAACACCACCACCATCACCATCATCACTACCATCACCATCACCACCATCATCACCACATCACCATCACCATCATCATCACATCACCATCACCACCACCATCACCATCATTGTCATCATCACCACCATCACCACCACCACCATCATCATCACATCACCACCATCACCATCATCATCACCATCACCATCATCATCACCATCACCATCATCACCACCATCATCATCACCATCATCATCACCATCACCATCATCACCACCATCATCATCACCACCATCATCATCACCATCACCATCATCACCACCATCATCATCACCATCACCATCATCATCACCACCATCACCATCATCACCACCATCATCATCACCATCACCATCATCACCACCATCACCATCATCACCATCATCACCACCATCACACCATCATCATCACCATCACCACCATCACCACCACCATCATCATCACCACCATCATTGTCATCATCACCACCATCACCATCATCACCATCATTGTCATCATCACCACCATCATCACCATCATCATCACCACCATCATTGTCATCATCACCACCATCACCATCATCATAAAGTAAAGGTGTGTGTTTGTGTGTTACAGGGTGAGTGTGCAGAAGAGTAAGTGGGACAGTTCTCGCTCTCTCAGGTTCAATCAGGACGCTCAGAGGGAGGAAGGTGAGTCTTATTCATACAAATAATCTTTAATTGATTTTTTTTCATGATTAACATTAGATTTTGTTTTGTGGGTCAGACCAGCGCAGGATGGTGGAGATCATCGGTCACCTGACCAAGATGAGGTTCGGAGATCAGGAACAGAGCAGGTCTAAAGATAATAAAGAGGTGAGGAGACACACACACACCTAATTGTTTCTGTTCTCGCCTCACTGCTCTGTGTTCCCGGGTATTCTTCAAGTGTTTTCTGATCAAGGGCCAGAGTCCCTAATATGAAACCCGCCCCCCACTCCCACTCCCACTCCAAGCCCCCCATTACTCCCTCTGATTGAGAATCAGAATCACTTCATGGCTTACTCTCTCTCTGCTGTGTGTGTGTGTGTGTGTGTGTTGCAGCCTTCAGGGGGGATCTATGCCAGACTGGAGACTCAGTTTAAGAGTTCATCTCAGAGCAGACAGAGTGCAGAGAAGACCCCCAGGTATTTATACTACACACACACACACACACTCACGCTCTAACAAATACTAACAGTGTGGTCTTTGCAGGTCGAAGCTTCGTTACGCTCAGATCAGAACAACATGAAGACCTGATGCAGAAACAGGAGGAGGATCTGTGCTGCTGTTTAAATGTTTACTGTGATGTTCTTTATTCAGCAGCTTCTTCACATATATATATAATAAATGTTCTTCCTGTCCACTAGGGGGCAGTGTGTCATAAAGAGAAAAATAAACTGAAGAACACCTTCATGCAGTTGCTTTCTTTATTTCTGAAAAACACTTAAAAGATCAAAAAACGTCTCGTTCACTTCTGCTCAGTCTCTGCAGCTTCATGGTCACCTGACCGGTCAGCTGATCTCTCAGGTGGATCTCACTTCACCTGCAGTCTCACTCGGATGTTCATGGCCGCCAGCTCAGCAACAAAGTACCTGAACACGTAGGGCACGGACACCGTGTCGATGGCGTCGCTGCTCTCGCACAACGAGCACACCGTCCGGCGCTGCCTCAGGGACGACCAATAGGGAGGGGGCTTCTCGAGCAGGGGGGACAGCAAGCTGCCACAGTCCACGCACACCTGAGCCACGGAGCGGTCGGAGCAGGTGAACAGACGGTCGTGAAGCAGGAACGAGGATCCGTGAGCAAGCAGGGCGTCTCGCTCCATCTCTCCGAACCGGATCCCTCCCTGGATGTTCCTCCCCCCCACCGGCTGGTTGGTCACTTTGTCCCGGGCCCCCGTCGTCCTCACCTGGAACTTATCGGAGACCATGTGACGCAGACGCTGGTAGTAAACGACCCCGATGAAGATGTTGGCCTCGAGCTCCTGGCCGCTCAGCCCGCTGTACAGACGCTCTGTCCCATAGAAGTTATACCCGCCAGCCCGCAGCATCTCGCCAAAATATTCCAGCGCCGCGTTGTCCTCTGAGAATCTGAAGGGTGTTGCGTCGTGGCTAAGGCCGTGCAGGGCGCCAGACTTCCCTGCCATGCTCTCGATCAACATGCCGATGGTCATACGAGACGGGAAGCCATGCGGGTTGAACAGAATGTCGGGGCTCATGCCCGTCTCACTGAACGGCATGTCCTCCGCCGGCCACAGGCGGGACAGGATGCCCTTCTGACCGTGGCGGCTGGCAAACTTGTCCCCGATGGTCGGGTTACGAGGGATTCGAACCGTGATGCAGACTCGTTTGAAACGACCGGAGCCAGAGTCGTTACTGCAGATCTTTATGTTGTCAACCACGCACGACTCCTGGTTCCTTCAGAGAGAGAGAGGGGGCGGAGCTTAATGTGAGCAGAGACTGAAGAGTTCATAAAATACTAATGTAATGTTTAATATTTATTTATATTGTAACTGTTTTAACTGTTTCCATGTTTAAAGGTCAGTTTAACATGTTCTTAAGGGTTAGGGTATGATGTCATAATTTAGTTATGATGACATAATGTAATCATGATGTCATAATGTAATCATGATGTCATAATGTAGCTATGATGTCATAATGTAATCATGATGTCATAATGTAGCTATGATGTCATAACGTAATTGTGATGTCATAATGTAATCGTGATGTCATAATGTAGTTATGTCATAAAGTAATGATGTCATAATGTAGTTATGATGTCATAATGTAGTCATAATGTAGTGATGATGTCATCACGTAGTGATGATGTCATAATGTCGTTATAAAGTTGTTACTTGTAGAAGGTGATGAAACTTTGTCCCGTGTTCAGGTTGATGTATCCGTAGAACGGGTCTCCGTACTGCAGCGTGGCGCCTATGTGAGGCAGACCGTCAGCGTCCAGTTTGTCCGCCACTTTGGGGTCTCCGGGTTTGGTCCCGAACACGATGCTGTCGTCACCCCGAACTTTATCTGCGAGATCGACCAGCTCCGTCTTAATGATGCTGCCGTGAGCGAAGCCACGCTCCCACGACGACTTGTTGACGATCTGAGGAGAAACACCTGAGTCAGCTCTTCTTCTTCTACTGTTTATTAAAAGGTGCTGCAGAGACGCTCACCATGGCGTCCTCCATGTCATATCCCGTGTAGGAGATGACGGCCACGATAGCGTTGGTGCCGCTCGGGTAGTTGTCGAGGTCGTAGCGGTCGTACATTGAGGGTCGGACCAGAGGGCTCTGAGGGGTCTGCAGGCGGTACAGTTTGTTATCAGAACGGTCCCTGAAGGAGTGCAGGGGAAACCCCATAGTCTGCTTACCTGAGGACAGACACACACACATACACACTTTCATTATATTAATGATAACCTCTGCATGTGTGTGTGCGCGTGTGTGTGTGTGTGTCACACTTACCCATCTGACACTGGTACATGTTCCTCGGGCTCTGGTTGTGGTCGGAGTACGGGATGAAGTTAGCGACCACACTCAGCATGCTGTGAGGAAACAGTTCCTGATGAGTCGTCACGCCGGCCTCCACCTCGCCCTCCGTCACGCCCACGTTGATGTAGAGCTGGACCAGAACCATCAATAACCAATAATCAACAAACTGGACCAGAAGAAGAACCAGGGGTGCAAACTCATCAGGGATGAAAAAGGTGACATGGATCCAAACTCCCTAGGGGGGTCTGGGGGCTTTTCCCCCCCAGGAAGACTTTTTAAAAATATCAGCTTTAAATTGTGAATTTACAGATGATTTTATCATTCAAACTAAAGAAGCAGTGCAAACAATAAGAAAAACACAATTGCTTGTCGATATCTATGTTCTGTTGCTCCCAACCTTCAGTCCCTTTTTATAAATGGGATGAATTTGCAGAACAGGTCTTACCATGTTCTACTAAGAGGTGATGTGAAGGACAGTCACTATGCAGGTAGCTCTCAGAGTCTGAGAGAACATAATACAGTCATCAAGGATGACCATATTTTCTCTTCTATCATTAAATATGTAACACTATCAATATATGAACCTGATGTTTTATCTCCTGCTGATTTTCATTAAGTTTATATTCCCTCTCTTATTACATGTGTTGACACTGTCACATTTTCTGTCACAGAAATGTAACGTTATGGAAATTATCCATGTGCTGCACATTGACTCATTGAATCAGGTTTCATGCTTCTTACGGTCGGTGCGAGAATGGTCCGCGGGTGCGGAGAGTCTGAGCGCCCAGCCGAGCACCTCCAAGATTTTTGTAGCAACACAGACGAGTTTGTGCCGACCGTGAAGTACTTTCTTCAGGCTGTGTTGAGCAATCAGACCGCTCTGACCGCAATCAGAAACAACTTAACATTCGCGGGACCGTGCTCGCCGGCAGCAAGAAGCATGACAGCTTGCATCGCAGATCGCAGACTAACCCTAACCCTAACCCACTAGACCAGAAGAAGAACCATCAATAATCAATACTCAACAAACTGTGAGATATGAAACACCTGTATACCTGCTCGAAGGTCCCGATCAGCTCCTGCCTCCCCAGACTCAGGTTCCTGACGGGGCGGACCATCCTGCAGGGTGTGGTGAACAGGAACAGACCCGGGTACAGACTGGACTTACCCGTCTTAGGAACCAGAACCACCTCAGTCCACGGAGGGATCTTCTTCTCCTTCAGCACCTTAAGGGTCAAAGGTTAAACCTCAGCCACCTGTGCAGGTAGTCAGTGGTGTTCAGAGTCAGCTGTCCTACCTTAAACCTGCGAATGGAGTCCACCACCACCTGAGCCAGATCCTCCTCCACCCAACCCACCACGGCCCCGTCCAGCACCACGGGGTAACAGTCTGAGAACGCACGACCAGGTGAACCGTCCACCGGGGTCACACCTGAAACATCACCACACTGGATCAGTCATCCAACCATTCATCCAACCATCATCCATCTATCATCCATCATCCATCAATCATCCATCATCCATCAGTCATCCATCAGTCATCCATCAGTCACCCATCAATTATCCATCCATCACCCATCCATCACCCATCCATCAGTCATCCATCCATCAGTCATCCATCAGTCATCAATCAATCATCCATCCATCACCCATCCATCCATCAGTCATCCATCCATCAGTCATCCATCAGTCATCAATCAATCATCCATCCATCCATCAGTCACCCATCAATCATCCATCCATCACCCATCCATCAGTCATCCATCCATCACCCATCCATCAGTCATCCATCAATCATCCATCCATCACCCATCCATCAGTCAGCCATCCATCAGTCATCCATCAGTCATCCATCCATCACCCATTCATCAGTCATCCTTCCATCCATCCATCAGTCATCCATCCATCACCCATTCATCATCCATCCATCAGTCATTCATCCATCACCCATTCATCAGTCATCCATCCATCCATCACCCATCCATAAATCATCCATCCATCAGTCATCCATCAATCATCCATCCGTCACCCATCCATCAGTCATCCATCCATCCATCAGTCATCCATCATCCATCCATCAGTCATCCATCCATCACCCATTCATCAGTCATCCATCCATCCATCAGTCATCCATCATCCATCAGTCATCCATAACCCATTCATCAGTCAGCCATCATCAGTCATCCATCCATCAGTCATCCATCCATCACCCATTCATCAGTCATCCATCCATCCATCAGTCATCCATCAGTCATCCATCCATCACCCATTCATCAGTCATCCATCCATCCATCACTCATCCATAAATCATCCATCCATCAGTCATCCATCAGTCATCCATCACCCATTCATCAGTCAGCCATCCATCAGTCATCCATCCATCAGTCATCCATCCATCACCCATTCATCAGTCATCCATCCATCCATCAGTCATCCATCCATCACCCATTCATCAGTCATCCATCCATCCATCACTCATCCATAAATCATCCATCCATCAGTCATCCATCAGTCATCCATCAATCATCCATCCGTCACCCATCCATCAGTCATCCATCCATCCATCAGTCATCCATCATCCATCCATCACCCATTCATCAGTCATCCATCCATCCATCACCCATCCATAAATCATCCATCCATCAGTCACCCATCAATCATCCATCCGTCACCCATCCATCAGTCATCCATCATCCATCAGTCATCCATCACCCATTCATCAGTCATCCATCCATCCATCATCCATCCATAAATCATCCATCCATCAGTCATCCATCCATCCATCATCCATCCATCCATCCATCAGTCATCCATCCATCACCCATCCATAAATCATCCATCCATCATCCATC